CCTGTGAATATTTTACTACCCCTCTACATCTGGTTTATTCATAATTCATTCAAGCACGTAATAATCATACACTGAACCTATATAAACCGTAGTTTATTGTCTTTTATGATCTATGTTTGGTGCCACGTCTCTCTGTGTAAGTGTATATTTGTTACAAAACTAAGATTTAATTAATACACTATAAATCTGAACTATAATGAAAAACCTGTGCTTGAATTTGATCACAAAGCGATACATGTTTTGGGGATGATGATTTGATTCTCATATTCAGAATTTTAACATCGTCATACAGATGAACGTCTTATCATACAGGGTGTCCTGTATTCACTGTTAATGAATGGTTAGTGATATGATCATATGTTATTCATTCTTGAACTGTGTGCGAGACGTTATTAAGTTTGAAATTATCTTGAAATTCTGTGTGCGAGACGTTTGTTAAAATTGTGCGAGGCCCGACCCAATGAATATTCATACATAAATACATGCAAATAAAGGCTTATTTCTTCTATCTGATAGATATACATGTATTTATCTATCTATCCGGCAGATATGCATTTGTCTGTCTACATTCATATTCATAATAATTGGATCAGGCTTCGCACAGTATTAACAAACCGGCCGATGATATACATCAGCATACAAATCATACAAAACACCGGTACACAGTGCTCACCAAGAGAGTCTCGACACCAGCACCAACGCAGCGACCTAAAGTGACAGACGAGCGCGAGAAGTCTTTCTCACGCAACGCACTTTCACCTACTACTGAGAGGCGCCTGGGACTCACGCTGATATACATCGCAGAGTCGTGCAATGCATTATAGAATAAACACATTACAGATGCCAATTGATATTCTCAAAACAAAAACACAGCGTTCATTTAAATTGTAATTAAAACGGGAAACGAATGTTGCAAATTCGGGTCACGTTACATTGCAATGATGCTATTTGACAGCAGGACATGCAGCGGGAAACGTGATTTGGAATTATAAACTAAGTGTTCGTTAATACAGATAAATTCTATGTTTCGCTTTCTCCACTGAAAAAAAAACAATAACCACAACAATAGCAGTATAGATTACAAAACTAAAACAATAATAATGAAGGCAAAAACAACATGGTTATCAACAACTACAATGCCAACCATAATAATAACAAAGGTCCAACAGAGGATGCTCAAGGCCCACCTCTACAAGGGCCTTGTGGATCCCTCTCTTCGCCAGTAGTCCTCCGTCAGGTGAGAAGTTGGTCAGATCGGCGGTGGAGGAGAAAAGGTCACGGATTCCCATTTTCTTTAGAGTCTGGAGAAGGAAGGCGTGGATACGATGCATATATATATATATATATATATATATATATATATATATATATATATATTTATATATTAAGGTATTTTATGTCATGATTTCGTTACAAGAAGAAAAAAAAATGTTACAATTTATCTGTACTCCATTTCATCAAATAATCGTTTTTTTGCTTTCTAATTTTAGATTTAAAATAGTAAGGCTAAGTTTAATCTTTAAAGGATATATATTACCACTTTGTACCGATATATTATACACTAACTTCTAACGATACATACATATATATTATTTATTATATATATATATATATATATATATATATATATATATATATATATATATATATATATATATAGTGTACATGATATAATATAGTATATATAATATACAGGTAGTCCGCGTGTTACGACATGTTCCGTTCCAGTAGGCTGTTCGTAAGTACGTTTGTTCGTATGTCCGTAGTAGGGCGTACGGTATGTTATGATTACTGTACAACTAGCTCTACTTTCGGACGTACCGGTATAAACAATGCAGTGGTTTTCGGTGGTTTTTAATGTGCTTTGAACAACCTTTCATCCAAATGCTCAGAAGTTTTTCAAGTTCTGCAATCACTTTTCCACGTTTCTTACTAATAACAGTAGAATGCATAGGGACTGAACTTTTCACATGTTCCATAATCTTATCCTTGTTCTTGAGTATTGTACCGATATTGTACCGTAGAACGATTCATCTAGTACGAACGAAGTTTTGAGATATCAGGCTTTGAAGTTGAGGATATTTTTCCTCCATTTTTTTTTTTTTCTTTGGAAAATCTGATCTCTGAGTCAACCCTTGATGCATTCTATGGCATTCACATGTATTGAAGTGTACCCCCCCCCCCTTTTTTTCCAAAGGACTAATGGCAATGAGTGCACATGATTGTAGAAGTACCGCAGTCACCAGAGGCTTGCAGTGCTTCTCGAGGCATTTCATAGAAAATAAAAGACTGCTGCAGCTGTGATTGAGATGTTTCTCATCATATTATGTTAATTTTACAGGAATAACACTGATCATTAGTAGTGCCTATTATGTGATGAGGGCGCATCAGGGATGGTGTCGCCCGAGGTATGGGACGGATTTCATCTTGCTCTGCTCTCTCCTGAAACCTTGTCTCTTTGTAGTAACTGCCAGCTGTGCTGCAAACAGAGTTGCCAGCTAGTTACCAGAGAATACCAAAATAAATCGAAAAAAAATGTTGTTGGTATATTTGCTCAGACGCGACAAAGTAAACATCGGAGCTGGAGGCAGATGGGGGGGGGGGTCAGAGATTTAGCCATAACTCTTTTATTTTATCGTATTTAGCAAAAAACAAAAAAAAAATCACAAAATCACAAAGTTTTCTGGAGAGCGTACAACACACGTTTGAATGTGTGACAGTGAGAGAGAGCTATAGTTTACGACGCGCGCTACTCTCACTCCCTCCTGACAGCTTTGTTCGTATGTACCGAAATTTGTAACTCGGAAGTTCGCAAGTAGGGGACCACCTGTATATAATATATGATGCATATAATATATGGAATCTATGTATATAATAATTATAATATAAGTAATCAATATATATATACATATACATATGTATATGTATAATATGATATATATAAAATATGTAATATATATAATATATAAAATATAAATATATATATATATATATAATATATAATATATATAATATATAATGTATAATATATATAATATATAAAATATATAATATATAATGTATAATATATATAATTTATATGTTATAATTTATATAACATATATAATAAATATCATATATATAATATCGTATAAACAATATATATAAAGGATGATATATATAATACAAAATATATTGTATATAAATGATGTATATGATGTATGATATATATAATGTATGTGTTATATGATATACATAATGTATATGATATAAGATATATAATGTATATGGTATATTTGTAAAACATAATATGAATTATGATAGTATATGCAATACATTGTATTTATGTGTGTATATATATGATATATATCATATTTATGACATACATAAAATATGTATATACACACACACATCTTCAGTTTACAGTATACTCCAGACGACGATTTAAAATGTGTTTTGGTTAGTTTTAATAGGGATAAAAATCAGAAAATAATCCTGGTTTTTTGTTTTCCTGAATGATATTTGACAATGATATCCCATAGTCACCCTCTGACAAACCACGTTATTGGAATTTGTAGTAAATTCAGTTTTCAGTCAAATTTCCTAGAAATGGCAAACAAACAAATTATTGCATATTCAGATGGAATCATATGACGTTCCCAAAGCTTTCCCAAACCATCTAGTTCCCCAGGTCGTCCGTCAAATCCCAGACCCCCAAGATCATGTCCTAGGTATAAAATACTCCAAAAACCTGCCTTATCATTAAACCTTCAGGATAGTACAGTGGTAACGCGCCCCGACCAGTAGTGAAAAGTTGCAATTGTCGCCCTGAGGTAATTGCTACCTCTGTTGCACTAGCTGACACACGTTGATCAAGTCAACATTAGTTGGCACAGGCCGGGCGAAGCTCAGCTTCGCATATCGGACCTATCCTTATCTTTGTCTCATAACTTGATTTCTTTACAGTAAAAAGATCACAATGAAGTTCCTTGCAGTTTTCCTCCTGATGGCCTTCCTCGTGTTTGGGACTTGGGCTTCGTTCGGCCGATCCCGCTTCCTGTGCCTCTGCTCAAGGCAACCTCGCACTGGAAGATCAGCCCATATTTGTTTCTGCTGATCATTAACGCACACGCGCATTCATAAAAGTTTCAGCAATGTCACTACTAGGATCGATAAATAGGTTTGTTTAACCCTCTTTCTTGGAAAGAGGAAAAATGGCACGCTTTAAACAGTCTGGAGCGTCAGTAGGATTAATCTGGTTTACAACGATATATCTTTTTTGAGGAAGGATTATGATTCAATAGGTTGATATACTTCATCTGATTCTCAGGTCACGCTTTTTTTTTTTTTTTTTTTTTTTTTAATGCTCTTTACATAACTATGATTCCAAGTGGTTTTAATAACTATTACCTTTTAGGTTTATTTTCTCTCAGTTACTTTTATTTAAGCAACTTAATATCAATGGATTTACTCTGGCATAGCTTACTTTACTTTATACAGAAGGGGTGTGAACAGTGTTTGGTCTCCTCTGGGTCTTCAGTACGTGGTCCTTTACGGTATAGTCAGGGGCATAAAAATGATGGTAATGATGATTTGTGTTTAGTTTTAAAGAGGGGAGGCAAACTAACAAAATTTGACACTAACAATAACAATAGTGGCAATAATGAGATAACAATAATGTTTATAATAATAGCAGTAGTAATGATAATAATAACCATAATGATGAAAATGTAACACTAGTTGTAATAATAATAATGATAATGTTGAAATGCAATAATAGAGATAAGAAAATAACAATCGAATGCAATTAATATTTAATATAATGATATTATCATAATAATAATCTTAATGATAATAATGATAATACCTATGATAAAATAACAATAACAATGATAATACCTATGTCAACAATAACAATGATAATACCATGATAATATAATAACAATGATAATACCCAATGATAATACCTTTAATAATAATAACAAGAATAACAAGAAAATAATAATAATAATAACGTTAAAATCAACAAGAACAATGCCAACCATAATGATAACAAGGTCCAGCAGAGGACCCTCAAAGACCCCTATAAACACCCATGAACAGGATGTTGTTCGCCTCGTTATCTTTAATGTAGAAAACGAAGGGCCGGTTGCACGTGAACGTCGTCTTTGGAGGCATTGGACTAGACTTAGTCACAGCGAGCACCGTCGCCGCTGCCGCCTCTGCGCCTTCTTCGTCCACCTCTATAAGGGCCTTGTGGATCGCTCCATTCACCATTAATCCTCGAACATGTGTGAAGTCGGTCAGATCGGCGGCGGATGAGAAAAGGTCACGGATTCCCATATTCTTTAAAGTCTGGAGAAGGAAGGCGTGGATACGAGCTATTTTTTAAAGGTATTTTGCGTCATGATTTCGCTACAAGAAGCAAAACAGTTTTTAATAGGTTATCAGTATTTCATTTCATTAAATAATCGTTTATTGCTCTCTCAGTTTAGATATAAATAAGTAGCAAGACTAAGTTTAATCTTTCAGGGATATCTATTACCAATATGTAACGATTTTGCAACCAGATGCGCAGAATCTTTACTGAAGTAATGGTATGATATGTAAGCTCGGAGTGTTTAAAACTCAAAACCCTTCGCGAGCCAATTTTCCCTTCAGCCACCATCTTGAGGTCCAACAGAGGTTTACATCTGGCTTCCCAGGATTACGTTTCTTATACTGGTATTATATGATTGAACGTTAAGTTTATTTTACCTATCACATTTTGAATGATCCTAATGGTAACACATTATATATGATTATTTTTTTCATGACGATCCTAATTTCACAGGCGTTGGGATCAGCCCAGTGAACACACTTAGCCCGCATACCATATATATATATATATATATATATATATATATATATATATATATATATATATATATATATATATATATATATATATATATATATATATATAATATATATATGTGTGTGTGTGTGTGTACATATATACATATATGGATGTATATGTATATACATATAAATAAATAATAAGTAAATATATATATACACTTATATATGAATATATACACATTATATATACATATATATGCGTATGTATATATACATTTAATATGTATGTATAAATATCAGAATGACATGCGCTTTTTCATTCATTGCAAAGACAGAATAAAAAATAGGAATGTAAGTGATGAATGTAAAAGGTAAGTATTGGCTTAATTAATCATTCAAAACGGCCGCCTGTAAGACTGAAACAGCAAATATCCCTCGGGCTGCTCTAGGCTGTACTGAGGAAAGTTTCCTGTTGGTACTTTATATATATATATATATATATATATATATATATATATATATATATATATATATATATATATATATATGTATATATGTATATGTATATATATATATATATATATATATATATATATATATATATATATATATATACGTTTGTGATAGCAGATTATACCTCAATTTGTGAGTAAACTACGACCCTTTGCTTACCATTCCCAAACTACCAGGTTCGCTTACCTTGCCCTAATTCAAACATACCGAAATGAGTTCATCCCCGAGAGTACTCTCCACGCTGATCTTGGGAAACTTGACTATCAGCGGGACGGAGGGCATCGCCTTCACCACAGACACGAGTCTCCTGGGCCTCAGGCGTCGGACCAGCCTGTCCACCTCCTTGGCTCTCCCATTCGCGGGAGGAGCACCACCATGGACACGGCGTCGCCCCTGTAGGGCATCTCCAGCACCTGGGCGTGAAGCTTCTCCGAGTCCACTGGAACGGAGTTGGACATATTTGAAGTTCGTTGATAACAGGTGATTCATTTTACGATTTCTTTGCATTGTAAGGTAACTTGTTCTGTGTTGGAATTGTGTACATGTTCCCATAAAGAGAAAGACACCTAATGAACACATAATTGATTTTGATTTGCGACAAATCGATACAAACGCAATGAAAATGGGGAAAAAAATATGTAATAACGGAAACTGGACACAAGGAAAGGTAGGGAGGTTCATTTTGTATAAAGGAAGAACTCCCATACATTACCATATTTGAACCTTCCCGTTTGCGTCATCATATCCACTTGGACAGACTCTTCCGGGGTTACGAAAAACTTGTCCTTGTGGTCCTTTGAGGCTTGAACGGTATTTCCAAAAGCCTTTGAAGTAGACGGCGTTAGTTAAGACCATTTTAGCGTCCATTCTATAAGCTTTGGTATTTTTCCTCGCGTTTCGGCGTTGATGAAGGCATTGATGTCAGCAGCGGCGGCGTCGGGCTGATGGCAGATTCAGGTTTGATTATTTCGGTCAATGGAGTTTAAAGATCGTTTAAAGAAATGTATCTGTTTAAAAAAACTTGAAAGGATTTTTTTCTTGTACAAGGGTCTCTTCTGTACGCGTCATAAAAGTTATGCTGCGTTCGGAACTGCTCGTCTTGCTCGTCCAGACACCTTGTCCAGACAAGCAGGACAAGTGGGCCGCGTTCGAACCTCCAAGACCCTTTCTGCCCAGAATGCAACCGGCTCCAAGGTAAACATATTTTATTTTATTTTTTATTTATTTTTTTTTTTTTTTATTTTTTATTTTTTTTATCATACTGGTGTCTTTATTTTACACGCTGCATAGGTTTTGTAACTCCTTTGATGCATATTTAACTTACCTGCAACTGACAAACACAAAAATATCCTTTGATAACACCAATAAAGGGTTATAAAATTACCCACCAATATCTTGCGGTTACCTACAACTGTCAATGTTTACATACAAAATTACTGTGACGTCATCTCGTCCTGTTCGCCAGGTTCGCAGGAGGGCGAGTTGGACGAGCCAGAATACTTGTCCGGGACGAGATTGTGGAAGTTCCGAACGGTCAAAACATCTTGTCCAACTGGGCTGGACGAGATAGACGAGCAGTTCCGAACGCAGCAAATTAAATCCAGATTAAAGTTTCATCCAAATCCACTGTACTTTCATAGATGTAATACACAATACCAGACGCACGCGTCCATGCGATCATCAGTAAATCTGTTCTTTTACAATTAAGAGCGGGCATTTGTGTAGTCGAAATTAGCAAACTCTTTGAGTTTCATATCGCACGCTAATGCTGTTACCGAGACGTTTGCTAAAAAAAAAAAAAAAAAAAAAAAAAAAAATATACACACACAGATATATATATATATATATATATATATATATATATATATATATATATATATATACATACGGCAGTCTTATAGCATGAGGATGTGCATTTGTGTTACGACAACTAAATCCAATAAAGGACTTCAAATGCTCTTTTTATAGGCAACAGAACTGTAGCTGTTAAACAAAAGTTACATCAGTTTATTTCTGCGGAGAGTTTTCTGAGAGTTTTTTCGTGTTTTGTTGCTGTCGAGGAATATGATAACAAATTCCCACGTAGTTTTGAAGGCATTGTAATATATTCAGAAAGTTTGTACTTTAAATCTGAAACCTAATCGTGATGTTATTGAAACTCTGGAATTATTTGTGGGATTTCCTTTCGTTTTTTTCGAGAGTTATTTCTGCAGTTTAAGTATCCCACGACTTATGAAAATATATGTTGATAAAAAGTTTATACACATCTTTAGCATGAAAATGCCAGAATTAGTTTCATTATTCGCAATAATAAACATTTATGGCAACTCGACTTCATCCTTTTTACCTGAATGGTGCGACTAACTAGCTCATTTTGAGCATGGCAGGATTAAAGTACGAGCTCAAAAGTGAATGCTGGTCCAGAGATGAAATAAAAGTTGATAATGGACGCTGCCATTGCGCGCGCACTAGAGATCTGGATTAAACTTTAATTCTGGATTAACTTTTATGGCACGTACAGAAGACGCCCTAAAGCACTGAAGAAGTTGGTTCATTCTACATACATTAAATGATCACCACAGAAGGCTTTTCTCTGTTACTCAAGATCAAAGTAAGTCTGCTGAACAGATCTGCCCTCTTGTACGGAAGGCTTTCACACTGCGCCGAGGTTTAAGCTATAAGGTTTGAAGTGCTTCACTTTGTTTAAGGCTTAAAAGGTTTTATCACTGTGCCTCGGCTCATATTTCTGTCTTCTCGTACTAGACCAAGATTGCCAGAGAACTCCCCTTAACCACTTGATGGAAACGTATCACAAATTGAAATACAATGTCAGGTTACAGAGATTTGTATGTATATACGAAGTGATAATGCAGTGATTTAATGCAAATGTATGTGTAGATTACCCTCTTTTTGCAGAGACATAATCAAAACATTACCATAACTTATAAGCTGTGCTTTTATATAAAGAATGATGTTCGTATCCTCACTGAGCCATGAATCTGTAACTACATGAGTTCTGATATCCCTATTTTGGATATGCTGCGATGTTACAAGTGATGAAGACTCCCCACATCTAGTAGGCAGGAAAATAAAGCTGTAAGCCAAGTGTTTCTTACCCTATTAAAGTCTGTGAACTTCACTTGGTCGTCGAGGACTTTTCCCACGCATTCTCGGACGGGAATGGACTGGTCGAAGTATATCCTGTTAGCCGAGTTGATGGTGTAGTTCTGGTTTGCTTCTTGGGAGTCATAGCTGCAGTCGTGTTATTTTAGTAGAAATTATTATCTGATAATGTTATTACTTGCATTATAAAATCATGATCCTTTTTGTTATCATCAAGGTATTCGTGTCCATTTCTCTCTCTCTCTCTCTCTCTCTCTCTCTCTCTCTCTATATATATATATATATATATATATATATATATATATATATATATATATAATGTATATATATATATATATATATATATATATATATACTTTTATATACATATACACGAAAATGAATAAACCAACAATATGAATTTAAAAAATCTTTTTGTTGTTCTTATAATTTTTGTATACACGTTACTGTGTTAATGTTTTACACAAACACACACAGAATCACACACACACACACACACATACATACATATATATATATATATATATATATATATATATATATATATATATATATATATTCTACCTACCACTCTCTTAACGGTTCACTCGGTAGGTTTAATCGCGTCAACCCACTCACCGCCGTTCGAGGGCCCTGAACAGGGCGAGCGTGTCCTCCCTGTTGGTGAGCCGCAGAACCTGCTCCAGCTCCGCCTTCGTGTTGCCTCGGGAGCCGAAGTAGGCGAGGACGAGGGCGCTCCAGACGCTGAAGGGCGAGATGAAGAAGTTCCCCGACGGAGGGAGAGCCTTCTGAGTAAGTCGAGGCTGAAGGGGTCGTCCGCTGAGAATCGGGAGCCGCGGGGCGGCGAGGTGTCGGAGGAGGAGAGGCACTGACAGCTGGCCCGTGACAGGAGGGCGAGGGCGGGGAGCAGCACGCACACTCTCATGGTTCTGAAAGGTCACGCACACACTGGTATTTGAATATAGAAACACACACACGCACATGTATATATCTTAGTCAAAATATTATGTATTTCTAACTATAGACAAAAGCGAGCCAGATACATTAGCACTATTAAGATATCTGGTCTTATTATTTTGTCGCAATGAACACGGTTTAGAAAAAGCGACTCAGACACGGGTTGCAGTATACACAAAACTATAGGGTGCACAGGAAACATATAACCGATATTGCATGTTCGCCTAACTATAGATTGCAAATAGACCTTATGAGGTGGGAGGCAAAATGCTGAGAAGAACGGCGCAATATCTTTCAGTCACCTCAACACATCAGCAGTCAACAGTTACCATATGCGATTTGCAGTACCATAAATTCCTTACGAAATCTGAATATTCATATAAAACAGAAAACACCAACGATGGTCTGTGGTGAGACTAAAAGCTAGAGATTACTGAGTTAGCGAGGCTTTTCCTGTGAATATTTTACTACTCCTCTACATCTGGTTTATTCATAATTCCATCAAGCACACAATAATGATACACTGAACTTACACAAACCGTAGTTTATTGTCTTTTATGCTCTATGTTTGGTGCCACGTCTCTCTGTGTAAGTGTATATTTGTTACAAAACTAAGATTTAATTAATACACTACAAATCTGAACTATAATGAAAAATCTTTATCTGAATTTGATCACAAAGAGATATATGTTTGGGGATGATTTGATTCTCATGTTCAGAATTTTAACGTCATACAGATGAACGTCTTATCATACAGGGTGTCCTGTATTCACTGTTAATGAATGGTTAGTGATATGATATGTTATACCACTTTCATTAAGTTATGAAATCATCTTGAAATTCTGTGTGCGAGACGTTTGTTAAAATTGTGCGAGGCCCGACCCAATGAATATTCATACATAAAGGCATCTGATAGATATACATTTATTTATCTATCTATCCGGCAGATATGCATTTGTCTGTCTACATTCATATTCATAATAATTGGATCAGGCTTCGCACAGTATTAACAAACCGGCCGATGATATTCATCAGCATACAAATCATACAAAACACCGGTACACAGTGCTCACCACGAGAGTCTCGACACCAGCACCAACGCAGCGACCTAAAGTGACAGACGAGCGCGAGAAGTCTTCCTCACGCAACGCACTTTCACCTACTACTGAGAGGCGGCTGGGACTCACGCTGATATACATCGCAGAGAGACCGCGAGAGCCGACATTTCATCTGTTGATTATGTTTAGATCTCTGCATTTATTTGGTCTTGCCTATTCATAATCCTTAGCTCAAAGAATCGGCTCCTAGGGTTAATGAAATTTTATTATTTTTTATTATCATTATTATTTTTATCATCACGATTCCTATAATGATTCCTATGATTATCATTAGCACCATTATTATTATTACTATATTATCATAATCATTTTCATTACTACTATCATTGTCATTATTATTACAGTCATTATTATTACTACTTTTTCATCATTTTATTATAATTATCATTATTACTATTGCTATCGTATTTATTATTATCATTATAACTATTGCTTTCATATTTATCATTATCACTATTGCTATCATATTGATCCTTATCCCCATTACTATTATCATCCACCACCGCCACCATCATCATCTTCATTATCATCATCCATTCATTTATCTTTCTTAGTATCCAAATGCACACAAACCCAAATGTAATTACAATAATGCATAACAAGGCACATAATACATTCTCTACAAACTATATTATTTAATCCGTATCTTACTCGTACAAGAGTTATTCCACTACATCATAAGAATAACGAATACTTATCTGTTTGAGCCTTTGGTTGGTCTCGAAAAAGAGTCGTAACTATTTATTTCTTACGTTTTTATAATTTAAAAAATATAAATAATCAGTAAAAATTATGATTATGTCTAAATCTCTGCATTTGTGTGGTCTTGCTTGTTCATATATCCTTAATTCAAATAATCGCCACTTTGTATTATCTTTATTTTACATAATTATTATTATTATAATTATTTCTATCATTATACTCATAATCATTATGATTATATTATGATAATTGATTACGATTAAGATTATCATTTTATTATTATATCATTATTATTAATATATTATCATCATCATCCATTCATCATATTATTTATTCATATTATCATATCATTATTATTATCATTATTATCATTATTATCATTTTTTTAATATTATATTTTTTTTATCATCTTAATTAATATTATCACCATAATATTTACAACTCATTTAAAATTTTATCAACTCATTTATATAAAACAAAAACTGATTTAAACAACTCAAACTCGATCCTTTGATTTGGTTGGTCTCGAAAAAATTTAATTATTTTTACAATTTTAACATAAGTAATTCATATTATTTTTTTCGTGTTTGGACTACAATGGGAACAAGTCAGTCGTACAATGCATTGCAGAATAAACATATAACAAGTGCCAGCACATGCCCTTGATTTGCAATAGCTGAGACTGAAGTGAAATCAAGGAACAGTTGATATTCTCAAAACAAAAATACAAATAGTGTTCCCTTCATTGTAATCAAAACAGGAAACGAATATTGCAAATTCGGGTCACGTTTGCATTGCAATGATGCTATTTGGCATAACAGCAAATGCAGCGAGAAACGTGATTTGGAATTATAAACTAAGTTATTAAAACGGATAAGTTCCATGTTTCGCTCTCTCTCTCTCTCTCTCTCTCTCTCTCTCTCTCTCTCTCTCTCTCTCTCTCTCTCTCTCTCTCTCTCTCTCTCTCTCTGCATGTGTGTGTATGTGTCTATATATCTGTGTTATTATGCAAAGTAAAGCAAAAAAGTGAAGCCGTAACAATAATAAAGAGATGAATTATTCGACAGGGTTTGGCTGTGCAGGTTTTTGAATTGGACAATTGTTATGTAAGGGGTACCTGACCAGATTTGAATTTTGTTTATACAGATCGAAATGTGCGTCTGAGGTCAGATGTGTGTGTGCATATATATACATATGTATAGACACACACACACACACACACACACACACACACACACACACACACACACACACACACACACACACACACACATATATATATATATATATATATATATATATATATGCACACACATATATGTATTCATATATAAGTATGTATAACCATACATATGTGTATATATTGTATATATACTTATATATATGTATACACACACATATATATGTGTATATATATACATATATGTGTGTGTGTGTAGATAGATGAATATATACATGTATATGTATATATGTATAATGCATATATATACATACATATATATAAATAATAATATATATATATATATATATATATATATATATATATATATATATATATATATATATATATACTCCTAAGTGCGTGTGTGTGTGTGTAAATGTGAAGGGTTGGCAGTTGAAAGGGCATCGTACTGTATGAAAAAAAAAAACCCTGCCAAAGAAACTACGATGTAAATTAACGGTGGAAATATACCAGCAACGCACCGTCAACCCTGTTTAATAACCAGAAAAAAAAATCAAATTCCTCCTATGGTGCATCCAGTTTCAGGAAATAACGAACTGGCAACTCAACACAGCACACTCTGGGCACTCCGATTCGCCCAGCCCTCTTTTTATCTGAAGTAGCTGACACAATAGTCATATAAAAAGCACAAAAATTATATTTTTATTACTTTGCAACTCATCATTATTTATTCCTCAGAAACGAACTGTCGAATCGGAGTATTCCATAGAAAGTGATGAGTTGCCAACATTTCCTTTTCTTAGACTGGACAGCATATAGGTTGCCTCCTTAGTGCGACTCTGGAAAAGCGAAATCCAAACTACGAAATACACTGCTGAAAGTTTAAAATTACACAATATAAATCGATAATAGAACAATAACTTCACAATCTAATATTCCAGTCTCCTAGCGGCTTTATAGAAAACGTTTACCTGAACCAGAGGTATGATAAACGGACAAGTACGATAACGTGTTAGGTCGCAGTGGACGGCACTCTCCAAACCGACCTCGTTGGAAGAAAGCCAGAAGAAATGGTGTGTTGAGAATCTAGATGTGCTAATGAATGACTTAATATGCAAAACCACAAAATACTAACTACAGAAACTTCCAAAAACTAAGGAAAATCCAGGCAGCCATGTCCACCATCTGAGCCTCATGGATAGAGTAGAGGGTCTGGCCAGTTACAGAACAGAAACACACCGACCAATTCAAATCGAAAAAAAAAGAAAGCCTGCATAAATTATGGGTACACCATTAAATTGTGTCAATGGAAAAAAAGGTATTTATTAAGGTTGGGTTTTAATTTCCAAACTCAAAGCCTTTCTAAATTGTTTACATTCGGATCATATTGGAAAAGGTCAAGAACTTCATAATAACTGTTAGAAAATGAATATTCATATAAAACAGAAAACACCAACGATGGTCTGTGTGAGACTTTAACAAGCTAGGGATTACTGAGTTAGCGAGGCTGTTCCTGTGAATATTTTACTACCCCTCTACATCTGGTTTATTCATAATTCATTCAAGCACGTAATAATCATACACTGAACCTATATAAACCGTAGTTTATTGTCTTTTATGATCTATGTTTGGTGCCACGTCTCTCTGTGTAAGTGTATATTGTTACAAAACTAAGATTTAATTACTACACTATAAATCTGAACTATAATGAAAAACCTGTGCTTGAATTTGATCACAAAGCGATACATGTTTTGGGGATGATTTGATTCTCATATTCAGAATTTTAACATCGTCATACAGATGAACGTCTTATCATACAGGGTGCCCTATATTCACTGTTAATGAATGGTTAGTGATATGATCATATGTTAACCACTTTCATTAAGTTATGAAATTAAAATTTCATTAAGTTATGAAATTATCTTGAAATTCTGTGTGCGAGACGTTTGTTAAAATTGTGCGAGGCCCGACCCAATGAATATTCATACATAAATACATGCAAATAAAGGCTTATTTCTTTATCTATCTGATAGATATACATGTATTTATCTATCTATCCGGCAGATATGCATTTGTCTGTCTACATTCATATTCATAATAATTGGATCAGGCTTCGCACAGTATTAACAAACCGGCCGATGATATACATCAGCATACAAATCATACAAAACCGGTACACAGTGCTCACCAAGAGAGTCTCGACACCAGCACCAACGCAGCGACCTAAAGTGACAGACGAGCGCGAGAAGTCTTTCTCACGCAACGCACTTTCACCTACTACTGAGAGGCGCCTGGGACTCACGCTGATATACATCGCAGAGTCGTGCAATGCATTATAGAATAAACACATTACAGATGCCAATTGATATTCTCAAAACAAAAAACAGCGTTCATTTAATTGTAATTAAAACGGGAAACGAATGTTGCAAATTCGGGTCACGTTTACATTGCAATGATGCTATTTGACAGCAGGACATGCAGCGGGAAACGTGATTTGGAATTATAAACTAAGTGTTCGTTAATACAGATAAATTCTATGTTTCGCTTTCTCCACTGAAAAAAAAACAATAACCACAACAATAGCAGTATAGATTACAAAAAAAAACATTAATAATGAAGGCAAAAACAACATGGTTATCAACAACTACAATGCCAACCATAATAAATAACAAAGGTCCAACAGAGGATGCTCAAGGCCCACCTCTACAAGGGCCTTGTGGATCCCTCTCTTCGCCAGTAGTCCTCCGTCAGGTGAGAAGTTGGTCAGATCGGCGGTGGAGGAGAAAAGGTCACGGATTCCCATTTTAGAGTCTGGAGAAGGAAGGCGTGGATACGATGCATATATATATATATATATATATATATATATATATAATATATATATATATATATATTAAGGTATTTTATGTCATGATTTCGTTACAAGAAGAAAAAAAATGTTACAATTTATCTGTACTCCATTTCATCAAATAATCGTTTTTTTGCTTTCTAATTTTAGATTTAAAATAGTAAGGCTAAGTTTAATCTTTAAAGGATATATATTACCACTTTGTACCGATATATTATACATATTACTAACTTCTAACGATACATACATATATATTTATTTATATACATATATATATATATATATATATATATATATATATATATATATATATATATATATATAGTGTACATGATATATAATATGTAG